CAGGATCACAGGCATGCTTGGTGGGGAACTCCCCCAATGGCACCTTACTCGTCTAATGTCAGCCACTGTGCCTACTGAGTCAGCACAAGGCCTCCCATCTGTCACAGAGACAGAGGGATCTGGTTCCCCACCCCCAGCACATCTGCAGGTGCTATGACATTACAGAATCGGTAAGTAGTGTGCCCTGGAAGCCTGTGTCTGATGGAGATAGAATAGCAATCTACAATATACTAGTAGTCACATTAAAAACTAAAATAAATCAACAATATTAATTCTAATTTTTAAATAATTTAACCAATGGATCAAAAATATCACAATATAATTTCAAATGATAAATGAGCTATTTTGCATTCTTTTTTTGTGCTCTTAGAATTCCAATACATAGATTACATTTACAACACACCTTATTTTGGACAAGCTGCCTTTCAAGCACTCCATAGCTATGTTTGCCAATAGCTTTTGTATTTTATAGTACTTATATAGAATGTTCTCTTGACCATTAAAAATTCCTATTAGTGCTGAGCTGGAAGCTAAAAGGCCATGGAAAGGGGAGTGACAGACATAAAAAGGGTGTGCTCCAAAATTCTCTTAAGTATGGAATTGATAAAGCTGATGATAACAATAGAAATTGAAACTATGAAGACTAGGGTGTTCTGGGAGCCCAGGAAGATTAAAATAGGCATTTAAGAAATGCACAGAAAAGATGCATGATCTAAAGGTTTGTGTGTGTTCCTCCATTAGAAATTCATATGTTAAAATCTTAATCCCCAAGGTGACGGGATTAAGGAGTGGGGCCTCCAAGAAATGATTAGATCATGAGAGCAGAACCCCCATCAAAGGAATTATTGCCTTTATAAAAGAGAGCCCAGAGGGCAGGAGAGGGAAATCTGTGGTAGAGCACCTTCCTAAGATGCACAAGGCCCTGACTTAAGTCCCTAGTACCAGGGAGAAGAGGAAGGCAAACAGAGACAGAAACAGAGAGAAACATTCAGAGAATTCACTTGTGCCTTCTGTCATGGGAGAGCACAATGAGGAGCCACTTCTATGAATTTTAAAAGGCCCTCACCAGACAGTGAGTGTGACAGCAAATTGATTCTGGATTTCCCAGTCTCCGGAAATGATAAATTTACATTGCTCAAAGGCAAGTAGTTTAGCCAGTTGGGTTACAAGAGCCAAAACTGACTAAAACAGATCATGCCCACATGCAGAGGCTGTCCCACAGCTGTGAAGAAACCAGTAAGTACCACTACCATTGCTCTAGGCAGCTGCTGGTTAAACTACCTTTACCTTAGCTATTCTGGTTTGTTCAAGGCAGGGGCTGCAAAAGAAAACCACCAAAGCCGAGCACATTGTCCAATAACAATTGTGGGTTAACAATCTAATTTGGTGAATCAGATACAGGAGCATGATCAAATTACATGTGCCTGTGTCTGCGCATTTGTGTGTGTGTGTGCGTGTGTGTGTGTGTGTGTGTGTGTGTGTGTGTGTGTGTGTGTGTGTGTTGTGTTCTTGGCAAGGAAAAGAAGAAGGGTCATGTGTAAAACCCCGAAGTACTAATGTGGCTGCCAAAATGTCCTTCACCCAGCTACCATCAGAGGACAGAGGAGTCACAGACTCAAGAGGCTCATCCAAAATTGGGAGCCACAAAGGAGAGGCCATGCGTGTAGAGAGAATGAGATGATGGGCGCCCAGGCAGATGATCAGGTGGGAGGGAGAAGTGGCAATCAGAGGCATTCTCCAAAGACAAAGAGCTTCCAACTCTACAGCAAGGATGTCATCCTGATCCTCAAATCAAGCTTAATTCAGAAGCCCACACAGGCTTTTGTGCATGGGGAAAGTGTAATTAGCCATCTTTGCCCTCATAGAAAGCCCCATTCTCTGAGTTTCTCCTCATATTCCCATCCGAGGGGTGGCAGTCAGAAGCCCCTCATTTATGGATTCAAATGGTGGCTCTTTGGTGGCTCTGGAATTGCTAGGGTCTAAGGGCCCTATGATTGGAAGGACTTGCAAAGGAAATCCCCTCCTCATACTTATTTAGAATTTTAGAGATAGTAAAGAATCAAACCTACCATTTGGTTCTACCACAGGCCTTGGTCATCTCAGTTCCCTTATCTGTATAATGCAATGAATAGTTCTACCCTCATGCTCACATGGGTGTCCTAGGGATTAAATCTAGGCTCATGAGAATGGGGCTCAAACTGGGGCATGACACTAAAAGCTTCGAGTCCGCATCAAACATACAGATCTCTGGATTTCTCCTGCTCCGTCTCCATTGACAATGATTTATGGCTCCCTCTCCACCGCTGTTCAGTCCATCGACTTCATCATTTGGTCACTCAACTTCCATTTATCTAGTAACAGTAGGTTTTGGGGGTTCTTAAATAAAAGGGCAGCATCTGAAATAGTCAGTAACCAGTTTGGACATACATGTGTGCAGCACAGGTCCGCTGGTAGGTTCTCCCCCCACCCCCTACACACACACACACACACACACACACACAACACACACACTAATTAGGTGCCATATTTCATGAAGGAGGTATGGGTTGAGGGTTGAGGACTCCGGCCTTCGGGAGAAATAAATAAAGGGCTCTGGGCAGGGGCAGAGAGACATATTGTGTTTTAAATCATAATCACCAAAGTCTGGAATCAGATCAGGACTGACAATTTCTCTGAGAATTATTTGTTAAATAATGCCTCACTGGGGTCACAGGGTCACTGAGAAGGTTTGCCACATATTCGGTCCCTGGCAGACAGGACAAGAACAAATGTTAGCTTCCTTTCCAATTTATTTCCCTCCTCTTCCCTCCTCCCCACTAATCTAAGGATGGGGAGGAGTCGGAGAACAGACACTTGCTATTTTCTTCCTGTGGCTTCAGAGCATGCCATGTGTGTGGCTGTCTGTACATACAGAATAGCTCCATTCTGGCTCAGGGGATTTGGGAGATCAGTACTCTCCCCAGTCCCTGGGCCTTTGGAGCTAGAATCCTCTGGCTTCTGGCATTGAAGCTCTCCAGGCCACACCTGCTCACACACTTCCAAACCTATGTACTTTTGTTGGTTGGTTGGTTGGTTAGTTAGTTGTTTTTTGATTTTTTGGGTTTTCTTTTTTCTGCTCTGCTTTGCCTCTGTTTTCTGGATAAAAGATTCTGCAGTTGGTTTTATACTTCTTGCCTAAGTGCCCATCAACCTGCTCTCAAGCAAGTGACTGGCACCACCTGGGACACAGCATTCTCATTTGTTCTAGGGCTGAGCAGGCTTCCTGGCCCAAACCTCCCTGCAGGTGGTCCTGGATTCTTTGAATGATAAAGGAGCCCCCTTGGGTAGGCCTGAGTTGGTAACAAAACAGCCTTGCCTCTGGGCCCCACGGGTTTCAATCTCAAAGTGTCAGGGCCACGGTTGGGTGTGCACTCAGGCTTAGAAGGGAATAGCCATTGGCAGAAAACAGTGTATCTGTGTGTGTAGGGTGGGGCGGGGCTGTCTGGCATCGGGGAGTAGCTTCCCTAAGCTCCTAAGGGCCAGAGGAACTTTGATGCTACCAGGCTTATGGCTTGTGATTCTGTGCCTTAGGGTCCATCCTTGCTTATGCAAGTGACACAGCTCTCCACGTTGTCCTTCTGGGAGAAAATATGAAGAAAAAGCACAGCACCACCCTGGGGAGGGGCTCCCTGCCTACTAGCCTCTCTGCTGTCCCCCTGGTATACTACTGAAACAAAGACTCTGCCACAACGTTTTCAAAGTTAGCTGAAGTCTCTTGGTCTACCAGCACACAATCGCGATGGTTAAAAAGGAGACAAGGAAAGATAGCTAGAAAACGGTGGGAAAGAGACCCTGGGAAAGCAAAAATTCTTGCCTGATGCAGAAGAGGATAAGAACTGTTTTCTCCCTGCTGGCCGCTTTTCTCTGTGTTCAAAAGAGAACCTCCCAATATTGGCTAAATAAAGGGATAACACCAGAGGATGCGAGATAATGCTAAACCAACAAAAACAAAGACCAAGCGAAACAGAGCAAGCCATGAGAATACGCGGTTATCAAAACTTTGTTTGGCTGTATCTATTTATCATTGCTGCACACCCGGGCTCTGCGGAATATCATTCTGTTGATGTCACTTATCCTCAGCAAAATATTTACATATCCTTAAAAACGCCAGATGAGGGAGGCTGGCCCTCTCGCCGCCGCAAGCCGCCTCTCAAGTCCATTGCCAGGACCGGGGGCAGCCCAGAATGTTGAGGGCACAAGGGTGGGTGCTTTCAGCGGATACAGGTAAGAGCTACTAATAGTTGTAGGAACGCAGCCCCCAAACGCTGCACCCTGCCCAGCCCACCCACTTCTCCTCTACCTGACTCTGCAAGAAGCAGCCACATCCCTCATATGGTGGCAGCGCCTCTCCTCCTCCCTTCCCTTTTTCATTGATTAAGTTCCCCAAAACCATTGTTAAAGCTGGGTTGCCTCCTTTAAAAAATAAGCTAAATTCATTAGGCTTCCCTCTTCCACAAGAGGAATATTCATAAAAGTTTGGCAGTCAGAGGGGAGGCTGACTGAGTGCCACGGGGTGGGTGACAATATGCTCTTTCCAAAGCCACCGTCTTTCTTCATGCCCTATCTGTCTCTCCGCCCATCCGTGGTGCCCCAAACCTACTCCACGGACTTCGGATAGGGAAACACAAAGCAGCAGCTGTTTGGCAACATTTCGACCCCTCGCCAACAACTGTGGTGGGATGTCGTTTCCCCACCCAGGCGGAGCTTATCCTGAACAATAGTCGGGCTTTAAACAGCAAACAAGCAAACACACAGAGCACAACCCCAGCCCCGGGAAAAAAAAAAAAGCTAACACGCAGAGAGGCAATAACTCCCTCCTTAGCAAAAGGCGCCACTGAAATGCACGCATTAAAAAAAAAAGGCAGCAAGGACGCTGCTTGGTGCCTAACATGGCAGAGGAGCTGGTGCGGCCACCCCGGGTCTGGGCATTGGGGGGCACCGGGGTGCCGACGCGCACTCACCCTGCTCCAGCGGGATGCGGGACTCGCTGAGCGGCACAAAGAGGATCCCAACACGATCTGGCAAAACCCAACTTTCCACCCGGCTCGCCAGGGCCGCCAGATACGTCAACAGAATCCATCTTTCGAAGGGCCTGGAAGGCGCCGGGTTTTCCTGGCTAGGGCAGAATGGCAGATACCGAGACAAGCCCGGTGCGGTGCCCGGGCACGGAGTGCGCCGCGCGCAGCCCTCTGTGCCCAGTGCCAGCGCTGGTGGCGGCCCGAAACCGACTTCGGGA